GACTCGGGAGCCCATCTGGGTTCAGATCTCAGCCATGTCCTTCCCGGCTAGGAGGCCCTGGACACACCCTGGCTTCAGCCTCCAGTAAAGTGCCTGTGGGGAAACAGGGAGGGGCGAGGATGGCCCTTTCCCCGGGCAGCTCAGAGCCCTGCTCCCAGCCCTCTCTGTCCCTGTTGAGGCGGGAGCCCCTCGGGCTCCGCTGCCATTGGGCTCCACTGCAATGGCAGCGGCACAATTGGCCACTTTCCCTGCAAGGTTGGAGTCGCCTTAAGGGAGTGCTCTCAGTATTAGTCAGTTCCCTAATTTCCCCTGTGGCCATGATCCCTCCATGGCCCTGGCCTGCCTATTGCGCAAGAGTGGGGGAGGGGCAGCTAGAGGGAGCAGGTCAGGATGGGAACGGTTGAGAGGGTTGACACCCACCCAGCCAACCCAGGTGGGCCCTTCTGGGTTTAGAAGGGAAGAGAACTCGAGGCTGGCGGGGATGGCAGCTGTTCTGGAGCAGGGGTTCCCCCTCTCCCCTCCGGCGCTGGGGATGGGCCTGCCCTGCAGCTTGGGGAGTCTTGGTCTAGAAGCTGAATTGTGTTTCTCAGTTCAGAAGATTTGGGGTTTTAAAAAACTAAATGATGCCAACATTCCTTTTGAGGTCTAGGGCAGTACTGCAGTTAAAACTAATATTTCTGCAGCAAGACATGAATATTCAGATAAAGTAGGATAAATGACGCTATAAATAGCCACACACCAGTGCAGGTCACATGTTGCTGCCAGGTGAGTTTGCTGTCAAGTGACAGCTAGTTCTGCCTTCAGCGCCTCTTGGCATTTGAAGTTGTGCGTACGGCTGTGGAATACTGGGGGTAGGGTATGCTGCCCACCCTCGGACCGACCCCAGAGCCAGAGGTGAAGGCAGAGCTCTCCTGGTCAGCCCTCAAAAGCCCGTTCAGAACCTTCAGGCCCAAGTGCTTGTTCTCCCAGGCAGGGGTTCTGGGGTCTGGATCACAGCCTCCTGTTGCTGGTAGAGGCCTGAGCCTCTTGGGGTGACTGGATCTGTCCAGCTCCCTGGCAGCACCGAAGGGACAGCCTCGTTCTGCCCAGAGACCCAGTGGCCTTGGCCCTCTTTCCCTCTTTAAGCAGCTTTGGAGGTGGGTGGGAGGGCAGGAGTTGAGTGGAGCTGGGATGGGGAGGCTGCCCTAGGAGGTGCCAGAGTGGGTGCCTGGACCGAGTGGCCCAGCCTTGTGCTCTGGCTGAGGATGTCATGGGTCTGGACAGAAACTCCATGGGTTAGGAGGGTGTTCCCCTGTAATTGGGAGGCTGTGGGGTCAGCACGTTAGATTTGGCCATTGTGCTGCTTGCAGCCTTGGGGCTGGGAAGCAAGGTGCCAGGGCCTGGGTGGGCAGGGCTGGCGCTGCTGAAAATCCTAGCGCTTAGGTGGGCCGGTGCCCTGGCCCATGGCAGTGGGAATCCAGCAAGAGTGAGCAGCCTTCCTGCACTTGCTCAGCTCTGACAGTGTAGGTGGGTTTTGGGGTCTGGATGGAGAACCAGGGAGGAGGCAGGAGAGCGCTGCTGCCCTTGGACTCCTGTGCCAGCGGAGAGCAGCAGCCACAGGTGGGAGGCCGGTGTGGTGGGGTCACCAGGTGGCACCACCCCTGCCCACCCCACCATCACACCCGGATGCCTCTGCTGTGCCCCATGGGCGGACTCCAGCCCGGGCTCCCCACCCACACTCCTTTGCCCAGCCTCCTCCCAGGCACCTCTGGGCCTTTGAGCAGGCAGTCAGCTCCGCCCACAACTTTGCCTACAGCCCTACCCCTCAGCAGCTTTGGTCCTGAGGCAAGGTGCTCAGATGGTCACAGATTGGGCCGACTGAGGGGGTGCGGGTGACACTCACTGGGGACCACTCCAGGGGAACGGTCTTCTCCCATGGAAGGATTTCTCAGCCTGTTCACCCTCCCGTCTGCTTTTTCATGGGACATTTTCTAACCAGAACATAAAGCTAGTGTGTTTTTTGGGGTCTGAACTATAGATGCCAGGAAGAAACAGGAAAAGGAAGCCCAGATGCTCCCTTGAGAGGCCAGCGGCCACTGGCTACCCCCAGCTCCCCAGAGCCTGTCGTGGCCATCTGCATGTGTGGGGATACAGCTGTGCTCAGCCTTCCTGAGGCTTCTGCACTGCGGCAGTGTGGTCTTCGGAGCTGCGGCAGCTGGGGCTTCTGCCCACCTGACACCTGGGGGAGGGGGTCCTGAGGCCAGGCAGGGCGTGCTGTGCTCAGCAGGGCTGGGCGGAGGTGTCCTGCCCAGTCTGGACTGGTGGGGGCAGCCTTAGACAATGCTGAACAAGTGTGGTGGCCTGATGACCTTGTAGTGCTTAGACAGGGGACACTAAAAAGTCCACACAAGAAATGGAAACTTTGCTGGCAGACTCACATTTTCTGATGGGCTTTGCCTTGGAGCAGGGCTTCCCGGTGTGCTCTGCAGCCCAGCCCAGCCCAGCCCAGCCCAGCCCAGCCCAGCCCCGCCCCTCCATACAGACAGGTGGCATGATGTGAGTTTGGGAAACACTGGGTACAGGAGCGCTGCAGGACTTCCCAGAGCCTTTCGAGAACTAATAGGCATAGGGACTGTCTAGGAGACAAGGAGAAAAGTTTCCCAAAATTGGCTGAACAAAGAATCCCCCTTTTCCAAATTCGTACCACTGTGTCTAATTTTTAATTTTTGTAGAGATGGGGGAAGGTCTCACTTTGTTGTCCAGGCTGGTCTTGAACTGCTGACTTTAAGCGATCTGCTTCAGCACCCCAAAGTGCTGCCATTGCGGGAGTGAACCCCCCGACCCAACCTCCTTGGAAATTGCTGAACGGAGCTGCTCGAGTAGGTTGGAGGGAGGCAGTGGGCAGGAAGTTTGACTTTTTCTTTAAGCAGTGGAAAGCCCGACTTCAGAATATCCTGGTTTGTTTTACCATACTCCCTGGAGAGGCAGGAACAGGTTCCGTGGGTGGGGTTTCTGGTCCCCAGCCTGCCTTGCTGAGCAGGGGCAGGGGCAGCAGCCCTCCTGAGTCTGGACCCCCAGGAAGCAGCTTGGAAACATTCAGGGTGCTGGAATGGGAGTAGGGTCCCCTGGGTGGCCAAGTTTTCTCCCCTTAGCAAGGCACTGCTAGTCACTGACACTTCCTTGTCGTAGCAGGGGACCGTGCCAACCTTGCTGTAGGCTCCCCTTCCCCAAAGCCCCAGCTCCCATCACCTGTCAGATACCCCCACCCTGCTGTGTTGTTCTTTCCACTTACCTCAGTACTGGCTGGGTGGGGGAATTTGGGGTCCCAGGAGACCCAGAAGGCGCTTGTTAGGGTCTGCCAGTCTGGTGAGAATGAAGCTTTTCTCATTTGGCCTGAGCTGGCTAGTGTGGTCTTTAATTTCAGCTGTGTCCAGAATTTTCCAGAAATAGCCTGAGGAGCTGAGCTGAGCACACAGCTCCTGGCTTCTTACCTTTGGGGCCTCCGAAACTGACACTTGGGTTTGATGATTTCGGGTCATTGAACCTGTGCTCACAGGCGCAGGATTTGGGGGATGGCCTGCAGGTCTCTTAGTTTAGTCTGTTACAGATATTAAACTTTGTTGAAGAGTTGGCTTTGAGATCACATTTCTCAAAATAAGTGGCCTTCAGACATTGTGTGAACATGGCCGACTATGAGCTCCCGTTAACACACTCCCACTACCAAAGGAACAGAAACCAAACAAAACCCCAGACCTGACCGGATCCCCAAGCTGCTGGTTGCTCCTTTTCTAAGAGCAGATGTGTGGTGGCTTGTGGCACTGAAATGATCTTGCCTCTCAAGGTTTTACTTTTTTTTTTTTTTTTTTTGAGACAGAGTCTTGCTCTGTTGCCCAGTCTGGAGTGCAGTGGCTCTATCTTGGCTCACTGCAACCTCTGCCTCCTGGATTCAAGTGATTCTCATGCCTCAGCCTCCCAAGTAGCCGGGACTGCAGGCTTGTGACATCATACCTGGCTAATTTTTAGTAGAGGTGGGGTTTTACCATGTTTGCCAGGCTGGTCTCAGTGACCATTCCTGACCTCAAGTGATATGTCTACCTTAGCCTCCCAAAGTGCTGGGATTACAGGCATGAGCCACCATGTGCCTGGCCTTGCCTCTCAAGGTTAACTGATGAGAGCTTTCAACTGTTTTCCTCTTCCTCCTTTTTTCTGAATGTTGCATGTAGGGATTAAATAGCAGCTATGGCCATTCCATGAATGGGCACATACAGACCGTTCTTGGGGCTCTCCAGGCCAGTGGGCTGGGTGAGGGGAGTGGCAGGGGCTGTATTTTCAGGTAGATGGTCACTGTCACTCACCAGTGGTCCCCATTTCCATCATGGCCACTGGTCGGTCCTTGAGTGTAAGGCTGGGAGGGTGAGGGTTCCGGCGCCCGCCCAGGTCCTGACCGCACTGCCCTTTCTGCTGCAGGGTCGGGGTGCTGGAGGACTGCTTCACCTTCCTGGGCATCTTCCTGGCCATCATTCTGTTTCCCTTTGGGTTCATCTGCTGTTTCGCCTTGAGGAAGCGAAGATGCCCCAACTGCGGAGCCACCTTCGCTTAAAGGGAACACCACGCCCGGCTTTCCTACATCCAGCTCTCTTTTTCTAATGTAAATGTCGTGTACAATAGTTTTATTTGATTCAGCTTCAGGACTGTTTTGTAAAGCGAGGTGGGACCGGTGTGGCACATGCCAGCTGCAGTTTCCTGAGCGTGGAGAGGCAGAGCTGCTGCTCCCGCCTGAGGCTCATGACAACTCAATAAAGCACTGCTTTTATTTTTTGCAGTCTTCAATTTGAGAAAGGTGAGAAATAACGTTTTCAATAAATGAGATTCATACCATTGTTGACCTGGTGCTGCTTACTCCGTGATTTCAAACACCCAGGAAAGACTGGAGGGATGCCTGCACCGCTGCCTCAGTGTCCCCGGGCCGGTCATGATCACCTTGTATTCCTCCGTAGGCACTTACAGCTCAAGAAGGTATGCTTGTTTTCAAGTTCTTTATTATTAAAATTAAATATAACCCCTTGACATTTACAGAGCAGGCACCTCGGTGCCAAGGACAAGGCCATCCCCTCGGTTCTGGTCTGTGAGGTGGAACCTGGGGCTGCATCTGAGACCGTCCAGGCCCCATTCTCCTATCCTGTAACAAAACCAGAAACATCGCCAAGGTAGGGCACCAAAGGTAGTTCACCCACACCCTGCAGTTCCCCACGGCTGTAAATGGGGCTCCCTGAGGCCTGCTCTGACATCTGAAGTGGGGAACACAGCCACAGAGGTCTTGTGGACTGAATTCTTATGTGGCCACAGCTCCTTCTGTAGAACAAACCTGGAGGCTAACACAGTTCATGGTGCTTGTGGCCCTCCATGGGGCTTGCCTGGTTTGTCCTCCCAAGAGAGGCAGATGGCGACACTGCTCTACCTGGCTAGAAGGAGCCTGAAGCGTCACCCCTGTCCACTGGCTTACCTGCATGTGATCTTTCCCAATTTCCACCTCATAGGAAAACAGTACACTATGGCAAGGCCAGAGGAGAGGTGAGAAGTCCCAGTGCCCCCAACACACAAGGTGAGCAGCCAGGTTGGTAATCTGTCACCCAGGCTGAAGTGCAGTGGCGTGATCTCAGCTCACTGTAACCTCCGCCTCCTGAGTTCAAGCGATTCTCCTGCCTCAGCCTCCCGAGTAGCTGGGATCAAAGGTGCCTGCCACCATGCCGGGCTAATTTTTCTATTTTTAGGAGAGACTCCTGACCTCAGGTGATTCTCCTGTCTTAGCCTCACAAGGTGCTGAGATTCCCATACCTGAGCTGGGCTGGGAATTTAGCCATGATGCTCCACTCCAAAATAGGTCCAGATCCTTGGCAGGCAGAGGTGAATTCCAGCCCGGGGCTCAGGGCAGCCACCGCTGAGTCCTCACGTCCACGCTGCAGGGCTGGGTTCTGAGTGTGTCATGGCTGCTGGGCTGAAAACCCGCCCTCTCCAGGCACCAGAGGTCACGTGGGCTTTATGCACATCCTTTGAGAGTCTGACCTGACTGAAACATGGAGAAACTGGGACCCCGAGAAGTTTGAGTGTATTGGTAATGGATGCAGCTTTGGCCAACTAGCTGAGTGAAAACACAGGAGCTGTGACTCCAACGCCCAGCTCCGTGTCCTGGATGAGCTGTGTGGCGAATCCAGCCGGTGACTCTTAACTACTGAGAAAAGGATCTCCGGGAGGGGATTCCATCAAGTGCGACTGGTGGCTGTGATAAGGGCAGGCAAAATGTCTTGGCACTCTACAGCTCTGTAGGAGTCGGAGGGAGCAGGGTTTCTCCATCTCTGGAAGCTCCACATTTCATTAAAGTTTAAAAATTTTTAGTTAAAAAATTACATGTATATAGTATTTTCATAATTTATATTGCTTAAAATTATGATTTGCATGCTAAGATGCAAACTTATGTGATATTTTCTTTAGCTAGACATAATGCTACTAAGAGCACATACTTTATAAAACTGGTCTCATTTGCATCACGTGCAGAAAGCCAGTCATGAAAGCATAGACTATCCCTTATTCTGGCTTTATTAAGGAAAAAAATTCATTAAAAAAATACAGTAAAGATTGAAACCATGCTCATTGCTTCTTGAACAGAATAAGAAGAAAATATTTTAAATGATTGAGTTGGTCATTAGACTATTACTCAGTTATCTTAAAGGCAGAAACGTGTCAACCCAACTATGTGAAACAGAAGCATGATTTGCTCAGTCAGGCTCCTCCGTTGAAGCTTCCCGACAGCACGAGGCAGACAGGACGTGCCCATCATTCCAAAAGGGAGAACAGGAGAGGCCCAGGAGAGTCCCTGGCTGTCTTCTCATCGAATGATGGGCGCTGAGCGATCATTTGTCACGGTCGGGCGGAGCTTCACAGTGGCAAAGGGGTTTTCTCCACTGCAGGGGATAAGAAAAATCTTTCAGAACTTCCTCTCCATGAGGGAAATTGGATTTTTGTTGATGGAATCTCATTCTGTCACCCAGGCTGGAGTGCAGTGGGGTAATCTTGGCTCACTGTAACCTCCACTTCCCGGGTTCAAGCGGTTCTCCTGCCTCAGCTCCCCCAGTAGCTGGGACTACAGGCGCGCACCACTATACCTGGCTAATTTTTGTATTTTTAGTAGAGATGTGATTTCGCCATGTTGGCCAGGCTGGTCTCAAACTCCTCACCTTGTGACCTGCCTACCTCAGCCTCCCAAAGTGCTGGGATTACAGGCGTGAGTCACCACACTTGGCCGAAATTGGATTTTAACAGCGCTAATAACCCATTCTTGCCCTGTGGAACTGTACTGCTGACCACCTGCCCAGCTTGTACAGGTCCCAGCAGTGTTTTCTGATGACAGTTTTGCTCAGTGCTGACTCCTACGCTACACCGCCCACTGCAGAAAGAGCCCAGGTTTTAAAGGTTCTGGACATGGGCGTTCACACCTCTTTAGCCCTGCATTGTGGGTGAGGTGGGGGCTGCTCTGGGGTGAGCAGGCCCTGCTCCCAGGGTGTTCTAAAGCGGGCGGTGAAGGGAGGAGAGGCCATGGTCCCCCACGGCCCCATAGGGCAAGGCCTTTCTCAGGCTGAACCTCCTGGGCACCAAAGGCCCTTCTGGGGGACACTACAGGGAAGAGCAAAGTCACATGCAGAGGCTCACATAGGAAGCCACACCTACCTGAGAAAAGGTGGCTTCGCAGTCCCGTTGGCATCATTCTGTAAGAAAGATAAGTTTATGGAGGGCTTGGAATTGGTCTTTTAAAAATTATTTTAGGTAGAGATGGGGGTTTGCTATGTTGCCCAGGCTGGTCTCAAACTCCTGAGCTCAAGTTATCCTTCTACCTCGACTTCCTAATGTGCTGGGACTACAGGTGTGAACCACCGTGACTGGCCTATATTGGGAGATTTTTAATTTAAAGACCTGAAGGTAAAGGCATCTAAAACATGAGGGATGTTTAAAAGCGCCCCAACCCATATGGGAGACTGTCTACATTCACTTGGAAGAATAAGGCAAGAACAGAAAATGCTCGGCAGGGCAGTAAGGGTCCTCCCAGGTGTGAGAGCATGGCGCTGCCCGCTCACACCTGGGAGGTGTGAGCTGTTGGGAGCTCACGTGTGAATGAGCAGTCTGCTAAACTTGGAAAGTTTCACATAATGAAGCTTGGGCAACAGAGAGACATCACAGAAGAAAACGTTTGTGCCAAACAGAACATCTCCGACTCGGGGGAAATGGAGATCCTGCAGGTCCTCAGCCCTGGCCTTTCGAGCGCAGAACCGAGAGACTGGGTGTGCTTTTTGGGAGCTGACTCCTGAAGGATGACATGAAGAACAGGAAGTAAAAATAAAACCCTGTCAGCTTTGGAGGCTGCTAGAGCCAGGGGAAAACTGAGGAAAAGAGAAGATGGAACCAAAGTGCAAAGGGGCCTGCAGGGCTAGGTCCAGGTGTGCACCTTCTTTCCCTCGCTCCAAAAAGCCTGTAGGGTTTAACAGTCTTTCCAGCCTGCACACATGGAGCAGAGTTGGGTGGCTGTCCAGGAGAGGGCAGTGTAACACCGTGTGACCAGCCGAGGCCCGGCCTCACGGTCCTGACAGCCCCAGGAAATGGCCCAGCACCCCCGGGGGTCTCAGGGAGCATGCAGACCTCTCGGCATTGACTCAGGTGCCCCGCTCTTGCCCCATGCCAGCTCTAGAGTGCAGGCCGTTCCTGGACGTGGAGGCCTGGGCCTGGCCTCCTCTGGGGTGGCCTCCACTAAGGCTGGGTGTACAGACTGGAGGCAGAAGGTAGGCCGCGGGTCCCAGAGGCATGGCCTAAGACCTGTCCTACTCTCTCCAGAGCCCCTGGGCAGAGCGGCCAGGCCCATCGGTGTCTGCTTCTGCACTGGAAGCCACTGGCTGGCCTTACACATCTTACAGGGCTTTAAATGGCTGCAAAAGTGATTTCTCCCTGTGGAGCACGCAGCACTTCCCCAGCAGGCTCGGAGGAAGTCCTTGCTGGTATAAGGTTCAGGCTTTGCGATGCTGACAGGCTAATTTATGATTTTCATGCCCCAGGGTGCCTGTTGCATGTGCTCACGGTGCTGGCGTCTGTGGACCCTGTTGCAGAAAGACTTCCTGTGGCCCAGAGGGCAGGCGGGAGGGCCGTGGCAGGGCCTGAGGCACACACTTCATGCCAAGCCCGACTTCACTTGGCCTTCCCCTCCTCTGCCACTGGAGTCATTTGACTCCTTGGAGCCAACACCGTGTCCCTCCCAAGTGCAGCTTCTGCTAGAGGAAGGCACTTCTCAAAGTGGAAACCAGAAACACCCTCCACCCAGCCCAAGCACACCCCAGAGCTTGTTCACACCCCCCCTGGGCCGCTAGGGGACTTTAAAACAGTCCCAGTGAATCCTTGCAAGGAACGCAGTAAGAAGCACCGACTCCTGCCAGGAGGACGGAGGGGGAAAAGAACACCTAAGAAAACAGCTTGAAGCCACTCAGAGTCGGGCCAACCCCGTGCACGCCTGGGGCCCAACAATCCTGTTCCCTATAGGAACAAGCAGGGCACATCCCCATGGGCCCTGAAACACTCAGGCAGCCCTGGTGAAACAGCCCAGACCGGAAACACCAGACACCCATCCATGGGAGAGCCAGAACCGGCTTCTGTGCAGACGGGTCACCTCACAGTGCCAAGCGACTGTCCCTCCCTGCAGGGCCACCCTGATGGCCGTCTCCGTGCCGGGGCTCGTGGAGTCTGGCCTTAGAGAAGGGATGGTCATGGGCATGGACCACGCAGGGGATCCTGGGGGCCGGAAATGTCCTACTGGGTATGCAGAGTCACATCGTGAAAATTCATCGTGCACTTTTCAGTCTGTGGTATTCCATAATACAGTGTTTCCTTTAAAATACGTATTGGACGTGTTCAGGCAGATTTCCCCTTTAACAACTGCTTGTTTCTCAGGGAGCTGAAACCCCAGCACTCCCTCTGGATATGAGGCTGGCAGGAGCCTCTCTGCCTCCCTCTCCATGGCAAAGCAGACCCATGACAGCACCTCTTACCTGGTGGCCTCCAGGGGTCTCACAGCACCCTCCCTGCGTCCCTGACTCAACCGCTCACCTCCCACTCAGCCCACTGCGGTGGTCACCGTGCCCAGACCTGCCCTCTTCCCTGCTCCCTTTCCTTGCAGTGGGGACACCTCCAGGCCAGGGACTGCACTGCCGCCGGCACCCAGGGCCCCCCGGGCACTGCCTGCTGCATGTCCCGTGTCCCTATCAAGACAGGAGACCCCAAAGGCCACGAAACCAGTGGTTACTAGAGAGTGGGCTGGGCTGCAACTGGGGACTGGAGAGCAAGGCCACCAAGTGGCTGACTGTGGCCAGGGTGGACACATCTTATGACCCACCCCCCCAATCTCCCCCCAAGAATCCAAAATGCGTGTGTGGACACTGGCTGACTGCCCATTGCCCGGTGGCTGTTCCACTCCGCTTTCACGCCTGTGCAGAGTTTCCGGGGTGCCTGCCACAGGGCCACGAGCCCAGGGTGGGGGACTATTTGATCCGGCTTTCCGAGGGGGCCCAGGCAGCTCGGAGCGCCCAGCACCGCTTGTTCCTCAGGCCACAGCAGAGAATGCTGGTGGCCTTCACTGCAGAAGGCAGGACAGAGTGAACGGGGACAGCACAGGGCGGCCTTGCTCCTGAGCAGAAAGAACATCTCTAAAGAACATTTCCAAGCCAGGTGGAGGTCAGTTACTGGCAACAGAAGCAGCCCTTGCTGATAACCTGTCTTCAGTGTGAAAACTCATTCCTGTCCTCCTCTGGGGGCCGGGCTTGTCTTCCAGTTCCCTTCTGATCTAGATCAACCCCTTTATTCTCAAAACGGGGACGCTGAGGCCCAAACAGGGAAAAGCCACTGCTCTGAGTCAGCGGGATCCTTTTGGAAGCCAACGTGCCCTCGTTTTAATGCAAACGAAGATGCATGCAGGCCTGCACACAGGCTCTGCTGCTCTCAGGAGGGGCTCATGCCATGGTGAACACACACTGTGTAATGCGGGTTTGCTTTTAAAAAGGAGAGCTGTCTGCTTAATGTTGGAAGGGAGCCAACACTTCCTCACTTGGAACTGCAGGATAGAATACGTAAGTTAAAAAAAATGTAGGCTGGCCACGGTGGCTCACGCCTGTAATCCCAGCACATCGGGAGGCCGAGGCAGGAGGACTATCTGAGGCCAGGAGTTGGAGACTAGCTTGGGCAACATAGCGAGATCTTATCATTATTGCTCCCAACTCTAGTCCTAAACAGTCTCCCCTACCCCCTGGGGAGAAGCCCCTGCTCTCAGAGGGTCTAGGGCACCCCGTCACGGGACAGCAGTGGGACTTCCCAGGTAACTGGGCTACTCCATGGAGGCTGACTCTCTGTACATCTAAGCCTAAGCATTCCAGGGTTAAAATAAACTGCCTGTAACTGACAGTAGCTGTATGTAAAACTACGTAGAACATTGTTTTTGGGTGGATGGACTTTACTCTTGTTGCCCAGGCTGGAGTGCAATGGCGCAATCTCAGCTCACCACAACCTCTGCTTCCCAAGTTCAAGTGATTCTCCTACCTCAGCCTCCCAAGTAGCTGGGATTACAGGCATTCGCCACCATGCCTGGCTAATTTTTTTTATTTTTCTTTTTCTTGAGATGAAGTCTTGCTGTTGCCAGCCTGGAGTGCAGTGGCATGATCTTGGCTCACTGCAACCTCTGTTTCCTGGGTTCAAGTGATTCTCCTGCCTCAGCCTCCCGAGTAGCTGGAAATATAGGTGCCCATCACCAGGCCCAGCTTATTTTTGTATTTTTAGTAGAGATGGAGTTTTGCCACGTTGGCCACGATGGTCTCCATCTCTTGACCTCGTGATCTGCCTGCCTTATCCTCCCAAAGTGCTGGGATTACAGGCGACGGCCACTGTGCCTGGCCTAAAAATGCTTTTAAAAAACATTAGGATGCTTTACCATCTCCCTTGGATCCTGAATAGGTGGGACTGCAGGTGTATGCCTGTAGTCCTAGCTACTCAGGGCCTTAGGTGAGAGGACTGATTGAGCCCAGGAGGTGGAGACTGCAGTGAGCTGTGATTGTGCCACTGCACTGCAGCCTGGGTGACAGATCGAGACTCTGTCTCAAAAAAGATGGCAGCCTTTGCCACCTGAAAGCCCCAGGGGACTCTGGCACCCTTGAGAGCTGGGGACACAGTCCTGGAATTGTGTGTGTCAGCCTCCTTCTGTCCACCTGGAGTAACATAGCTTTCCCTAACCACAATGTCTAAACCAGCTGATGATGTTGGGGAAAGCTGTGCTGTATCCCAGGCCTGAGTAGCGGGGACTACAGGTGTATGCCACCATGCCTGGCTTTCTTTTTTTTTCTTTTGAGATGGAGTTTCGCTCTTGTTGCCCAGGCTGGATACAATGGTGCAATCTCAGCTCACTGCAACCTCTGCCTCCTGGGTTCAAGTGATTCTCCTGCCTCAACCTCCTGACTAGCTGGAATATAGGTGCCTGCCACCACGCCTGGCTAATTTTTTTTGTATTTTTAGTAGAGATGGGGTTTCACCATGTTGGTAATGCTGGTTTCGAACTCCTGAGCTCAGGTGATCCATCCGCCTCGGCTTCCCAAAGTGCTGGGATTACAGGCATGAGCCACCATACCTGGTCAGTTTTTTAGTTAATTTGCTATAAAGATGAGGTCTCATTATGTTGCCCAGGCTGATC